AGGGAATGGGGAATGATGGGATTGGGATCAGGGAGAGGGAATGGGAGCGCCTGCTCCAGGGCCTCCTCCTCATCCTGGCTCCTGGGGGAATGGATCCCAAAGGTCAGGGATACAGGGAATGATGGGATTGGGATCAGGGAGAGGGGATGGGTGGGAGAGGGGTCAGGGATTGGGGGATGGCTGGGACAGGGATGAGTGGGAACAGGGAGAAGGGATGGGTGGGAACAGGTATCAAGGAGCGGGGATGGGATCAGGGAGAGGGGATGGGTGGGAACAGGGAACAGGGAGAGGGGATGGATGGGAGAGGGATCAGGGATTGGGGAATGGCTGGAACAGGGATCAGGGGATGGATGGGATCGGGATCAGGGAGAAGGAATGGGTGGAAACAGGGATCAGGGATTGGGGAATGGCTGGGACAGGGTTATGGTGCTGGTTCCAGTGGTTTGGGGGTGGTTATGGTGGTTTGGGGATGGTTTGGGGAATAGTTTGGGGTGGTTCCAGTGGTTTGGGGATGGTTTGGGGAAGGTTTGGGGATGGTTACAGTGGTTTGGGGATGGTTTGGGGGGGGTTACAGTGGTTTAGGGCAGGTTTGGGGATGGTTCTGGTGCTGGTTATGGTGGTTTGGGGATGGTTTGGGGATGGTTACAATGGTTTGGGGATGGTTTGGGGGCAGTTATGATGGTTTGGTGCTGGTTACAGTGGTTTGGGGTGGTTACAGTGGTTTGGGGTTGGTTACAGTGGTTTGGGGATGGTTTGGGGGTGGTTACAGTGGTTTGGGGATGGTTTGGGGATGGTTTGGGGATGGTTTGGTGCCGGTTACAGTGGTTTGGGGATGGTTTGGGGGCATTTATGATGGTTTAGTGCTGGTTACAGTGGTTTGGGGATGGTTTGGGACTGGTTCCATTGGTTTGGGGATGATTCTTGTGCCGGTTATGGTGGTTTGGGGATGGTTTGGGGGCAGTTATGGTGGCTTGGTGCCACTTACAGTGGCATGGGGATGCCTTGGGTTGGTCCCAGCTCTCCAGGGGTTGGTTCTGCCCTCACCTCATCCTCTCCTGCTCGCGCCGCAGCCGCTCCTTCTCCCTCTCCACCTGCTCAGCCTGGGCCTTGAGGGCCTTCTCCCTCTCCTCCTTCTCCCGCGCCGCGCGCTTGAACTGCTCGAAGCTGTCGCTGGACGACTTGGCCGTGGCCGCCGGAGCCGCCGGGTGCTTCTGCACCAGAGACGCCCACGAGCCCATGTTCTTGATCTTCAGGTCCTACGGGGGGGAAAGAGCTCGGTCAGGGCACGGGAATTGGCCTGGGAATTCTGGGACTCATCCAGGGACCGGGATTGGATCTGGGAGCTCGGGGTCACTCGGCCTGGAGAAACTCGGGAGGTTCGTGTGGATCCAGTGCTGGTGCTTCTCCAGGTTCCTTTGGATGTCACCCCTTCCCTCAACCTCAGGAGGTTCTTATGGATCCAATCCTGGAGCTTCCCAAGGTTCCTTTGGATGTCACCCCCTCCCTCAGCCTGGAGAACCTTAGGAAGTTCTTATGGATTCAGTTCTGGAGCTTCGCAAGTTTCCTTTGGATGTCACCCCTTCCCTGAACATCAGGAGGTTCTTATGGATCTGATCCTGGAGCTTCTCCAGGTCCCTCTGGATTGTCCCCCCGTCCCTCAGTTCTTATGGATCCATTTCTGGAGCTTCCCCAGGTCCCTCTGGATGTCACCCCCTCCCTCGGCCTGGAGAACCTCGGGAAGTTCTTATGGATCCATTTCTGGAACTTCCCCAGGTCCCTCCCCTCCCTTGGTTCTTATGGATCCAATCCTGGAGCTTCCCCAGGTTCCTCTGGATGTCACCCCTTCTCTCAGTTCTTATGGACCCAATCCTGGATTTTCTCCCATTCCCAATCCCAGAGTGTTCCAAGGTCCCTCTGGATGTCACCCCATCCCTGAACCTCAAGAGGTTTTTATGGATCCAACCCTGGAGCTTCCCCAGGTCCCTCTGGATGTCACCCCCTCCCTCAGTTCTTATGGATCCAGTTCTGGAGCTTTCCCAGGTCCCTCTGGATGTCACCCCCTCCCTCGGCCTGGAGAACCTTGGCAAGTTCTTATGGATTCAGTTCTGGAGCTTCCCAAGTTTCCTTTGGATGTAATCCCTTCCCTCGGCCTGAAGAACCTCAGGAGATTCTTATGGATCCAACCCTGGAGCTTCTCCAGGTTCCTTTGGATGTCACCCCCTCCCTCGGTTCTTTTGGATCCAATCCTGGATTTTCTCCCATTCCCAATCCCAGAGTGTTCCAAGGTCCCTCTGGATTGTCCCCCCCTCCCTCAATCTCTTCCCCCCCCCATTCCCATGGGATCAGGACCCCCCCGACCCCTTTGCCCCCCCCTGGTTCCCGGAGCTTTCCCCGGGAATTTTCCCCAATTCCCAGGAGTTTTTCTCCCAGATTTTTGGGAGGTTCCTCACCTTTTTTGGGGCCACGGGGGTCTTGGGCTCCTGCTTCTGCCGCTCCTTGTCGGGGGGTCCCGGGGCAGGGGGGGGCTGTTCCGGGGGGCGGATCACGGGACGGGCCCCTCCCCCCTCCAGGGGCTTCAGCTCCGGCCCTGGAACAGCGGGAATGGCGGGAATGTCGAGGGGGGGGGGTCATGGGGGGCTGGACACTGAAATTGGGGTCTCAGACATCAAAACTGGGGTCACTGGGGGCCTTGGACACTGAAATTGGGGGTCATGGGGGGGGTTGGACACTGAAATTGGGGGGATGGGGGTGCTTGGAGACCGAAATTGGGGGTCTGAGACACCAAAATTGGGGTCATGGGGGGGTCTACAGTCCTAAAATTGGGGCGATGGGGGGGCTTGGACACCAAAATTGGGGGTCTCAGACACCAAAACTGGGGTGATGAGGGGGCTTGGACACTGAAATTGGGGGGATGGGGGGGTCTACAACCTCAAAATTGGGGTAATGGGGGGCTTGGACACTGAAATTGGGGGAATGGGGGGGATGGACACTGAAATTGGGGGTCTCAGACACCAAAACTGGGGTCACTGGTGACTTGGACACTGAAATTGGGGTCATGGGGAGGGTCTAAACTCCAGAATTCGGGTGATGGGGGGCCTGGACACTGAAACTGGGATCATGGGGGGGTCTACAACCCTAAAACTGGGGGGATGGGGGGGCTTGGACACTGAAATTGGGGGTCTCAGACGCCAAAACTGGGGTCATGGGGGGGGATTAGACACTAAAATTGGGGTGATTGGACACTGAAATTGGGGCCATGGTGGGGTTGGACACTGAAATTGGGAGGATGGGGGGGCTTGGACACCAAAATTGGGGTCATGGGGGGGCCTACAACCCTAAAATTGAGGTGATGGGGGGCCTTGGACACTGAAATTGGGGGTCTCAGACACCAAAACTGGGGGTAATGAGGGTCTTCAGCACTAAAATGGGGGTGATGGGGGTCTCCAACTCCCCAAATTAGGGGTTCTGGGGGGGTCTCAGATGCTGATCCTGGGGTGATGGGGGTCTCCAACCCCAAACTGGGGGTTATGGGGGCCTCCAACCC